CTGCTGGCCAAAGCTACAGCTGGAGAGGCCAACGTCCCCTTCATCACTGTCAACGGCTCCGAGTTCCTCGAGATGTTTGTGGGCGTCGGTCCGGCCCGAGTAAGTGAATGAACCCGGAGCAGATCCTGGAGCATCTGAGATGACTCTGTTCAGACACTGAATGTTTGACTGTTCTCTCTCCTCATGAAGGTGAGGGACATGTTTGCCATGGCGAGGAAGAATGCCCCCTGCATCCTCTTCATTGATGAGATCGACGCAGTGGGGAGGAAGAGAGGAGGGGGGAACTTTGGGGGTCAGAGTGAGCAGGAGAACACCCTGAACCAGCTGCTGGTGGAGATGGATGGTAGGCAAGCTGCATTTTTGAAGTGGAACATACTATCCCCCCCAGCCCCCCATTAGATTTAAGTGTCTTCATCTTTTTCTACAGGTTTTAACACCGCCACGAATGTGGTGGTCCTGGCTGGAACTAACAGACCAGACATCCTGGATCCTGCTCTGCTGAGGCCAGGACGCTTCGACAGACAGATCTACATAGGTAAGCAGAGTCTTTACTGCCTTACTGCAGTCTCCACATCTTAAAGTATTGGAAAGTGCCCAAATCATTCTCCCACTAACCACAGTGCTGCCAGTTGGTGTGAGGTGTTGATTTGCTCTTGGCATTCTCCGAACATGCCATTTAGAAACCTGATTAAGTGTAAACATGGCAGCGAAATGTACCTACGAGGGATATCTGGGTTTTCCAATGTGATCAGCCTGCTGGAGGACGCATGCGGTGCCCTGTAAAATCATGCTCATGTTGAAGCTCCGCAGAATAAGTTTTAGTTGGAATGCAGAGGAAGAATTCTCTCCTGTCTTCTGTCAGGTCCGCCGGACATCAAAGGCAGGGCGTCCATCTTTAAAGTCCACCTGCGACCAATCAAACTGGATCCCAATCTGGACAAAGACGGTCTTTCAAGGAAGATGGCAGCTTCCACACCGGGATTCACTGGTTTGTAACAGTTGGATCGAATAACAACAATGTAACGGCACTATCGCAAAAATGTTCTTTTATTTTGAATCATTATATTTGATGACTGTTTTTTCCCGTTTGAATGAATCAGGAGCTGACATCGCTAGTGTCTGCAACGAAGCAGCTCTGATCGCAGCCAGGCACCTGAACCCATCCGTCAACAGCAAACACTTTGAACAAGCCATCGACCGGGTCATTGGAGGTGAGTGTGACATCACCTAGTACGTGACGGCTGTGTACGGTTGTTTCTTGTAATGGTCTTTGTGTGGTAAACGGGACAGTTTGTATCTGACGTCCTTACAGTCTGACTCCCGGGTTGTTTGCTTTCAGGTCTGGAGAAGAAGACTCAAGTCCTGCAGCCCACAGAAAAGAAGACCGTCGCCTATCACGAGGCCGGTCACGCCATCGTCGGGTGGTTCCTGCAGCACGCTGACCCTCTGCTCAAGGTAGGAGCTCTGTGCGTGCTTGGGCTGTGTCGTTTCTGTTATGACTCCAGCTGCTCTGTAAATCTCCACCAGTTACAGGTGTAGATGGAAGCTGTGGGTTAACCACACATGGTTTGTATCCAGGTGTCGATCATCCCGCGGGGGAAGGGTCTGGGTTACGCTCAGTACCTGCCTAGGGAACAGTACCTGTACACCAAAGAGCAGCTGTTCGACAGGATGTGCATGATGCTGGGAGGGCGTGTGGCTGAGCAGGTTTTCTTCGGACGGATCACCACCGGAGCTCAGGACGACCTGAAGAAGGTCACGCAGTCTGCCTACGCTCAGGTACGCACATGTGACTAAAAACACACTCCCTGTTTGATTCCCACCAGCAGAAGAGTGCTGTTTGTGCCGTAACGCATCGCTCTGCACCCTGATTTGCAGGTGGTGCAGTTTGGGATGAGCGAGAAGGTGGGACAGGTGTCGTTTGACCTCCCCCGACAGGGCGAGGTAGTCATGGAGAAGCCGTACAGTGAGGCAACAGCAGAGATCATTGACGAGGAGGTCAGAGAGCTGATAAATCGAGCGTACGAGCGCACCCTGCAGCTCATCCAGGACAAGAAGGACCTGGTGGAGCTGGTGAGACTGTCTAATACGCAAAAACACAACCTCAGATAAACGCAGAGTATTCTTTCCATGATTCATAGTTCAAGTAAGGATGAACTGAAGCCCAGATGTGGCGCTTCAGTTCATCCTCTGTCTGAAACAAACCAGTTAAGCTCCACCTCTGCTGTGATCCTCAGGTGGGGAAGCGCCTGCTAGAAAGGGAGGTGTTGAACAAGGCTGACATGCTGGAGCTGCTGGGCCCTCGGCCGTTTGAGGAGAAGTCAACGTATGAGGAGTTTGTGGAGGGGACCGGGAGCTTCGAGGAGGACACGAGCCTGCCGCAGGGCCTCCGAGACTGGAACCAGGAGAGAGGAGGGGAGGCGGAAGACAAAAATTCAACTCAGGACAAACGGCAGGCCATCTAGAGTCCAAAAAACACCCAACACGTACCAGCTGCAAAATAAAAAAAAAGGTCTGACAGAGTCTGGGAGGTCTGGGGGAGGTACTGGGTTTAGGAGGAGCACGTGGCCATTCACCCCGATTTGTTCTACCTTCAAGAAACTTTCTCTAGTTTAACACGTTTAAGATAAGGTGAAATTAACATGTTCATGAACTTAAACATAAAAATACAAGATTTCACCAGGTGATTTCACAGATTTCAATAAAATTGTGCTTTTTATTCAGTCAACTTTAACTTTACTTGTCCGTCCTGCAGAGGATCCATACCGCACAATCTGAGACAGCTGCACTGCTCGTTAGTGCTCTGTCTTTAAAATGTAAATAGTTGGTGACCTGTATAACTAATATGAAGAAAAATGAAGGTTGGTGGTTATAATTTCCTACTACTTGTTAAAAATTGTATTTTAATATATAACTGTATTGATATTCTGCTCTGGCATCACGTCCACGCGGATTTGATTTTAATTAGATGCTAAAATAAAGTAAGGAAGTGGGCAAACGGGCAATGTTGGGAGCACCTCAGATACCTCCTCCTCAGATCCACCAGTCTCTGGTCAGCCTCTGCTTGTAGAATTTGTCCAGAGGTTCCTTCTTTCCAACATCTGGGCAGGAATTTGCTCCAGAATGCCTTTAAGACTCAAACAGGAGTCTAGAATGTACACGATGCGCATTTAAACAGTGCATACAGACTGACTCTTCCTTTATTTATTCTTCTAAAGGGGAGACCCCTTCCTGACCGATGCCTTGCTGATAATGAGGATTATTTTCTGTGTCCAGACTAAAAACACTGGATCGTTTTTAAACTTTTCTTTTTGTGGACAGCAGTTACTCTTCATACTGACACGAAGAGTCGTCGGACCGAAACACCTCAGCAGCATCCGTCACTTCGGATTTCTTTTTGTACAAACATTTTGATCATATTGATTTTTGTGTGATGTTAACAGAAAATAAAAAATGGAACATTTCGTGTAAGTTATGCTGATTTAAAGTAAAAATCCCCCTAAAATACTGAAACACAGACCGTCAGTGATGGCTGCAGGCGTCGCATTTCAGCCCCAACGCGAGCCGTTCCCCTCAGAGTTAAAGGCTCGTCTTATTTTATGTTTTAAATTTTCATCGGCAGCATCCCTGAAGGGACTGAAACTAATTAAGCTTATCTCGCTAACGAATACTTTGAAGCCTGTTAGCATCCAAATGAGACGAGCGCCTCCTGGAAGTCTCCCAGCACAGGAGATAGATACTTCATGTCCTGATTTGTGTAAACTGATTTTTCATTTTTAAGATGGATTTTCAGGTTATTAATAAGCTTTATATTGGAAGATGGAGCCCCTACAATGTTAGAGGGGGAACTCGTACAGCTCCAGCGAGGAAGAACCCGCTGGTGTCGGGCATACGGAAAGGCAGCCTTATATATAAACACATGGGGAGTAGATAAGAACTGAGCCTATTGCAATAATAACCAATAATAATGTTGTAGAGTAGTAACAAGAATCATAACTTGGATTTATAGAGCACCCTTCAAAGTACCCGAGGTTTCTTTAGACACAGAAAAAAGGCTTCAGTGAGCATCTGACATTTCAGCTGCTTTTTGAGATGGAGGATCACAGATCTCAGAGGGGCGCATGTTTCAGAGTGAAAGCCCTGCTCCCAAAGGACCGCTGTCTGGAGTGCTTGATGGAGAGTGAGCATTTGTACTGAGGAAGGTAGAGTCCAGCGTGGGGAGAAGAATGTCTGATGAGTCCTGGGGAGCAAGAGCACGAAGGGATTGGCATGTGAGGAGGATTTTATAGGACATACGGGCTTTCACTGGGAGCCAGTGGAGGTGCGTAGCTAAGGGATGATTCAGGGTCACCTGATCCAGCCCTAACTACTCTGTCACAGACGAGCCTGATCTTAAAAGTGGGACAGCTGAAGGCTCTGCCTCCCATCCTACTTTTAAAAACTCGAAGAGTGTAGTGTAATGTAAGCCTGCAGCGTGAGAGCGACGCGCTCTGTCCTGATAATGAGGCGCTCTGAGGTCTTTAAGATGTGAGTCTGATCAGTCAGGACTTTGTATTTGAGGAGAAGGATGTGAAATTCAGAATTTAACAGGGAACCAATGAAGAGAAGCTAACATGAGCGTAACATGATCTCTTGCAGCGCTGTTGTGCATTTACACCTGCTTCACATAGCAGCTGATCAGCGGTGCAGAGGTAAGAGCCCATGAGCTCTGTAAGAAAATAAGGTCTGCATTTCACCAGTGTTGTTTTAATCAGCAAATCAGTGTCACACCAGTTTTGGGAAGAAGATCAAGGTTGGAATTTCCAGTTAATGACAGAAAATATACAATGACGGTGACTCTGAGAATACAATGTTTGTACAAGCTCAGACAGTCGAGCCCCTGAAGATGAAAACACAAGTTCAATTCAATTTTATTTATAGAGCCAAATCACAACAACAGTCGCCTCAAGGCGCTTTAGTTTTCTTTGTAAATGTGAAAAAACCACAAACATGCTGCTGTGTAAAGTGAAAAATGTTTTTTTTTATTGTGTTGACATTCCGAACAGTCCCAGTACATCTTTATCTATAAAAACTAATCCCTGAATGCTGTAGCTTCATTTCCACCTAAAGCCGCGACACCGCTTCTGTCTCAGCCAACAAAATCAGCGAGACGTCACTTTCTCTCCATCTTCATCTTTAACAGGCTGGTGCCGCGCTCCTCAGTGAGTCACAGCGTTTCCTTGCATATGGCGTGCGGCATCTTCTGTTAACCTTTGACCCTTAAAGCTGCTGAGAAAGTCTTTGAGTGTTTAAAGTTCTGCTTTTTTTTTTTTTTTTTTTTTTTTTTTTGGTCCGAATTTGAGAGTTTTGGTAAATCGAGGCTGTAAAACTCTACGTTTACACATCAGTTCTGTATCAAAAAGCTACAAAGGTGCTACATTCTTGTTCGGGTGTAATGGCAACGCGTCTCCACGCACAGGCTGCACTGTCCTCCAGCTGCAGAGCCACTGCAAAGCTGATCCAGAGTCCGTTTAGTCTATTACAGGTTTTAAAGAAAACCTTGTGTAGCCCTTTATTTGTGCTGCAAAGTGAGGCCGATCAGCAGCTGAGACAGTTTCTCCGTCCAAGTTTGTCTCTTATTCAAGTTTAAAAAAAAAAAAAAAAGTCCTTTGGCTACCTGCTGGATGTTTAAGTCTCCGCCTCACTGTCATGTTCATCTTGATTAGTGGGTTCATTTTGGTTTAGAACTCAGCGACCAATGAGATGAGCAGAGAGGCAGAGAAGAGAGAGAGCGACAGGGAGATGGCTGCCGCCCCGCCGCAGTCCTTAGCGTTCTCCTGTAGGACGAAACAAATGTGATGCTCAGTCCTTTCATAGCAGTTTCTCTGAGTACATCAGCGTTCACCTGTTTCACCACACAATCTTTAGTTAGCTTTACAGAATGAACAGCAGATGACTTGATGTATGAACGGTCAGTGAAGTTGATTTTTCTGTCCATACTCTGGACTCATTTTAGCATACATCATATGCTAACCTGTGCATACTTAAAGCGAGTAGACCTACAGTATCACAGTTTTTCTCTTTTTCTGCTTTTCTTAGATGCACTCAAACTTTCTATTTACATGGGGCAGCCAATCAAACGACAGCTGGGTTAAAGGGAGGAGGAGCTAAAAACAGCTTACTTCAGACTTGAGTGCTAGAAAATAAGGCAACATATTTTTGGTTTGGCTTCTTTAGTTCTGAACCAACTGATGCAGAGTCTGAGATATTTAACCCACAGTCTGAGTGTTCCTTTGGAGATCATCCTGACATCCTGATAAATGATGCACCACAGTCCAGTGTAAGCAGTAGATTATTACAAGCTATGACCCATCATGCAAACCTCTTCTAGGGGAGTCCAAGAATAAAAATAAGGAGCTGGATTTGTGCCCAATACATCTGCTTTAAACAGCCATCAAGTGTGACGGGACTGATGTTAGAGATTATACACAAGCTGCAACAATGACTGTTAAATGATTAGTGGAACGTTTAAAGTGAAGAATTTGAATCCCTTAAAAAAATCACTCTTAACAAAAGAGGTGATGTTCTGCTTTTCAGCTGACTCAAGGATTTGTTGGATGTGCTGCAGGACAGAGGTGCATCAGTACCCGATTGACCCTGAGACCTGCTTCCCCTTTATTTCACACACAGACACACACAGCTTATGTGTTGTTGCTAGTTTTCTGTGTGAGATTCTTTATTTGCCTTTAAAATCACCACGTTTGTGTTTGTTAAATAGTCTTGCAGTTCTTTTGCGTTCACAGTCAGCAGTGGGGCTCAGCACTGACCTTTGGGTGGTAGGCGTGGCATGACTGAGGGCGCCGCCGCACCTTCTGGGATCTCATCCTGTTGCACTTCACTGTGGCGTTATGTTCACAGATATTAAGGAAAACTGGAAGCTCGCTGTGAAATAAATATATAATGGGGACGAAATTTTGTAGAAACAAAGCATGACGTAAATCTGAAGTTTCAAAGCCTCAGCTAAGAGCAAACAGATGTTGTGAGACTGCTCAGATAATCTATTAATGTTCTCATCATTGGCTGTGGAGTGCCAGTGAACTGCATCACTGATCTGAGGGAAAATAAGGAGATTACAGCACAAATGTGATTTTCCAGGCTGAATGCAGTCTTGCCCTCCCTGCAGTATTTGTGGCTGTAAGCATCCAGCAGGGGGCAGCATTTTGCTGCTGAGAATGTGAAGGATATATTTGATCTCTTTGGGCTCCAGCAGAATGGCTCCATACTGACGGGAGCAGTCACAGTAGGCCTGAGTCACGACCAGAACCAGGTTACTGTCAGGAATCTGCTGCACCACAAACATCCTGAAACGCAAAGAAGGCCGCAGTCAGTCACTGCCAATCATTCAATTATGCTTAAGTTGAAACTTCCTCGATTTAAGACCAGATTAACAAACTATGAATGAAGCTTGTTTTGATTTTTAAAGTGTGTGTGTGTGTGTGTGTGTGTGTGTCATACTTCTGGCAGCGTCCACACTTGTTGAGGCTGTTGGCCTCTCTGACAGACGGGTCGTACATGAAGCCTGGGTAAGCTGTGTCGCAGGGTTGCAGCGCGTCCAACTTCTTCTGCTTATGAGCTGTGGACACCACACACACACGTACACACGTTACACAGCATCGCTACACCTGAGATGGCTAGTCCCACTTTTTGATGAGCACAAGATGCCCACAGATGTGCTGTACTCACATGTGTGATAGCCAGCTTTGGCTGAACAGATGAAGATGGATCACAGTGACGACACAGACGGCACACGGAGGTGATGAAGGTGAGGATGGTGATGGAGAGATGATGATGAAGATGAGTAATTTATTAATGAGACCAAATGAAAACAAAACTTTTCTAATCCTTTTCTTTCATAATTTTGTTCTGTAAAGTTTCAGCGACACTGACACCTGTGCTCACTAATGTGATAACGATGGAAAGGATCACCAAAGACACTGAGTTCATCCTGAGAGGAGCACGAAAACCTCTTGAATTGCTCTACATATTTTTCCAGACAGCTACAGCATGCTGCCACCTACAAATATTCCTCCACTAATATGAGGTGCAATGATAAAGTTAGGCACATAACTCTGTATAAATAACAGAAAATGTATCCAGCCACCTCCTGTAGCTCTTTGGGGTAAATGCTGAGGTGCTGCTGAGCCAGCTGAGAGACATAGTTCCTCCACTTAGCTGGACACGCTTCATCAGCCACGAGGCATCCAGGAAAATCCTGGTCAGATGCTGAACCACCTGAATGGACTCAGGTTAATTGGGAGGAGACAGAGCTCTTTACCCCATCTCTAAGGTGGAGCCCAGACACCCATCACATGGATTACTCTTTTTGTCAGGTCATGGTCCTACATGAGAGGATGATTTGCCGTTATGGTGGCGGGGTGGGTAAAGGATTTTTTCTGCTCAAGTAACCCCATGAGCTATGCTGTCTGAGGCAGTTTGGCACCAGTAAGGTCCAAACTATCGATTGAGCAGGAGGTCAGGATGCGATTCCCTATGAAGAGAAAAACAAGGGGCCTGTTCTAACCAAGCAGACTGTATCCGGCCTAACCCAAATGGCCCTGCCTTCCTTTGGCTCCCATGGTCTGCTGTTACTTTCAGGATCAGGCAGCAGTCAGAGGTGGAGCTCATGGTGCTGTGATCCCCAGTTACCAGTACTGGTTGTAGGGATACATTGAGAGTGGTTGTTGTTCCCCTTCACAGGGTTGTGCCGTGTTAGATCCACTGTAATCAGACTGATCTCTACTGTAATGTCCTGAGCAAGCATCGACCTGTGGGACTGAAAATGAAACCAATTTGCTAAAACGTGCAGCTCCACTAATGACCTCTTGAGGCTGCCTCGAAAAAAGAGGCAATCCCAAACCAGCGCTCCTCATAAGATTTAACTTCCCGAGATACAAAGACTTCCCAGATTTGATGGTGATTAAGTGCACTGTCAGAGAACTTGACCAGTCAGGTCAGTCTGAGCTTACCATCCACAAAATAATCAGAGTGCCAGAGACCACAGAGGTTAAAGTCCAGCAGGAACCTGACAGAGACACAAAAACACCTTGTTAAAGACAAAAAAGCACCTGACATCCAGCAGCAGTAAGTGCTGTGAGGTAAACTGTGAAACAACTGAGGCACAAAGCAAAATTTAACTCTGCAGGTTTCAGTCAGTAAAAGTCTTTTGGTTCGGTGATTTAAAAGTTTGAGTCCAGCAGTCTTTAAGTACCACTATTTGATTTATTTTTAAGCTTTAAAAATCTCTCAGTGGTGGAGGTTCAGTTTGCAGTTAAAAAGATTTATGCATATTAAAAATGTGAACCACGCACACTGGCTCATTATCCACACCCTGAAGACATGAAGCGGACAGAAGTCTCCCTGGACTTACAGTGTGTTTGCTGTTAACATCATTATGAAGACGTTTCTAATATAATAAGAACAGAAGCACATTAATAGTGACTGAGAGATGTAGATTTCATCCTATGTTATACCTTTACAACACTACAATGAAGTTGGAAACTGTATACAGTACAAAATATACGATAATATATATTTTTTTGTCTGTCACAGATTGAGTGACCCCACAGATTCGTGTGCCTAATCTGTCCATTTCCAGCTCCTTCTTTTATTCTTGTACTCTACCAGAGCAGCTTTGCATGATCAAAAGTTCAAAATAATCCTTTATTTGATTCTAAGCATTGATTTACATTTGGTTGCACAATCCCGTCAGCGTAGGACATTGTGATAATGTGATGTTGCTCTTTAGCACTTACATCAGCGCGTTGGAGAAGAACCATCTCATCAAAGCCATGATGACGTAGAATGGCTGCAAAAGGTAAAACAAGAAATGAGAACTTTTGGTAGAATAAGATCTTAAAAACCATCAGAAGATTTCTTTAATCTTCTGATGTTAACCATGTGTTGGTATATAAGAAATTTACAACAGATAATATCAATAGTATAAGAGACAAGCCTCTGTTGTCATCAGTAGCTAAATAGTAATGAGACTCACGCTGAGCAGAGGTCGCGCGCTGCTGGCGTGATGGTGGCCGGTCTTGCACATTGCCTGGTAGTCGAACAACGACACTCTGGAAAAAAGAAAACTCAATTTGAATTGTGACAGGAAAAAAGCGTGTTCTATTCTTCATAGTTACCAACATATTTTACAATAAAAAGAAACATGAGTGGAAAATGTGTCTTGAGTTAGTCATACTTTTTAAACATTCCCATCTTGAGCAACGAAGCCATGATGGACCCGTCTACCTCGCCAAAGAAGCGACCAATCTGTGAAAAACAACATGAAGCCAGCAGGCTTTTGTTATTAGAATTCAGCAACATGAAAATTAAGGATCATTTACAGTGTGGAGTACTTTTACAGAGCTGTAAAACTAACAGCGAACTGGAATGGGGAGTTCATGGACTAAAACTGGATGGTAATAAAAGTGTCACCCGTCTGCTGAGCACCAGTGATACCTGTGAGGCATCTCTGCAGGACCCAAAGGACACTAAAAGGTAAAACCCACAGCAGCCAGAGCCTGCTCATCATTGGTCAAGAAATACAGTTTCTGCTTTATCGCAAAACTTCAGAACAGTTTCTTTCCTCAGGCCGTGAGACCACTGAATCATCTTTCACACTTTGTTTTAATGTTGAGATTCAGTTTTGATTATTTTATTTTGGATTTTTTGTGTTAGTTTCATTTGGTGAAACAACACTACCATGTCTATGTGCAAGCTGCTGTTTCATAATAATAAGTGATCGTGAATCTCAAACAGCTACATTGGTTTGAAAGAAGAAATGAGGGAACTACAGTCTCTTGACAAGCACCTTTTAAATGACTTTAACTCCATGACAGTTTTTGCTGGAGACAAAATTCTAACTATTTTGGTAAGAATAGAAATGAAACGTTATGTTTATTTTTTATCTTTTTTGTATCCCAGTAGCACAAAACATTCACTGGGTACTGCTGTTTGAACACAGGTAGAAAAATCAGCTCCTCTTAGATTTTGCCATGCCCAGTTCATAGTACCATAACTCCCAGACCACTGTGGGCTGGAGAGAAAATAAAAATGGTTCCTAAAAATGAGAATTATTTTGTAATCTTGCAGCCAAAATTACACAATAACTTACTTGGGTGTTAAACGGTAAAGTTATCATGCTGACCCATCCATCCACCCTTCCCTCCTCTGTTACTCCTGTTATTATTACTATATAGAGGGCGCTGTTGCCATAAAATGAAATTCTTGGTCATGTGCTCAGGCCAAATGACTCTACATAAATGTCAACCAGTAGCCATTTAGCTGGTAATCTAAGTGCATGCACATCCTTAAAAAGTAGCCTCAAATTAAATTTCCTACACTCAACTTTCCTGAGTTTGTGGAAAACATTACTCTCTTGGCAGTCTCATCTATTCTAAGATAGCATGTAAATAGAACATGATCAGTCAGCAGGTTTACATGAAGATAAGGAATGTTTCAGACACATTTAAAGTCACTGCTGCGTTCAGCCTGAGAGTCTGCAGTGTGTCGGCTCTTTCCGGCGCTCAGCAGCAGCAGCAGGACCAGAGTCTCTGAATTATTCAGAGCATTTTGTCTCAGCGGCTCTGTTCACGTTTACAAGCTGCTCTCTGCCCACACTTCATCTCTGTCTGGACGGATTCTCCCAGCAGCCTCGGAGGATTCACAGGTTGCTGAGTGTTGGCAGTTGGATGCTGCTTACACACCAAAGTTGACCCTCTGTTTTCCTGGCAGCAGCAGTTGCAGCAGAGTGTAAACACACTGAACTAAACAAAAGCACGACGAGTGCCAGGAGCTCGGCGGGCGCGCAGCAGCAAAGGCAACCAGGCAGGTTCAGGTTTCCATGCTGCCTCTGAAGGGCTTCAACCAAAACTGGCTCATTATATTTAACAGGCTGAGAAAATATCCACCAGTAAAGATCAGGATTCATGAAATCATTGTCTAAACAAAAAAGCAGTGTGTGTGTGTGTGTGTGTGTGTGAGAAAACTAAGGAACAACCTACATGACGAAAAAATGAACCCACTGTGAAAAGTGTCAAAATTGCAGTTCCTCTAATGTCCACTAGAGGCTGGAACATAAACTGAGTCAGTCCCCACAGACTCCCATGTTAGACTGTCCAACTCTGTGGCATTAAAAATCAACACATAAAAACAGTTTAGTTCATAGTTACAGTATAATCACAGTATAATCTCAAATGTATGCTTAGCCTCAGATATTTGGAAGAAAATGTACGGATATATGCGAAGCTTCCAAACATGGTCCAAGAGAGGAAAACACAGGAAGCAGTTAGGAAACCTGCCGAAATGTAACAACAGGTGTATGACTTGGCCTCCAAATTCCTTAACCTAATTCGTTATTCAATGCAATCCAGCTTGAGATGGGCTGTAAAAACAAGCCTAGTATCCAATATCTCATATGTCATGTCTTGGTGACCTAATAGGATGATCTGATATCCTTGTGTTGGTGTTGTTCCCACATCATCATAATAAATGTTGTTCCAGGTTCAACATTGCAAGTGACCAATCACATTGTTGTGACGTCATACTTTTGCAAGCCAAGCGATTCATTCATTTATGAAATTCCAATGTTGTAAGGACAATATGTATAATGCTTAACGTTTATTAAAGAACAGTATCCTGAAATGCAAAGAATTCAAATTGCTGGATCGGTGGACAGAGGCGGTTTCTCGCAATTTATGTAGATTTTTTAAGGCGTTTTTTTCCGGTCGCAAAAGTATGACATCACAACAATGTGATTGGTCACTTGCAATGTTGAACCTGGAACAACATTTATTATGATGATGTGGGTACAACACCGACACGAGGATATCAGATCGTGCGTGACTAATATCCCAGGACCTTTGAGGTCTTCTGAGGTATTTGGGCTGTTTGGTGTCATAAAGTTTAATTCTGAGAGACTAATGTTCTAAAATGTCCAAAGTATGTACAGTCCAACAGTTTCATTCAGTCAGTTTCTACTTTTTTAGTTGTAAGTAGTTTCCAGTAATTATGTTTCCCCTTACAGGGTCGCTAGCAGGCTACAGACTCCAAGACGTGTTCATTTCATCACATTATCACACCTTATAGTTGTACTTTTCAGTCTAACCTGCTTTCAGCCCTGAGGTTGAACACTGTACTCTCACAGCAGGTTCTCAGACAGGATCATTGATCATCACTCGGACGTTTCCTCCACACATGGCCAGCACCACCCAAAACAAGCCTTCTGTTTTGCTTTGTCACCCTGCTCACTACACCTTCTCTTGCTGACCCATTTCTTATAGTCAGCACTGACTTAATTTCTCTGCTGATTAAATATTTACCATGCCCTGCACAGCGGCTTCGGCATCGGGGTGGATTCGGGGCGTTTCCGCAAACTTCCTGCAAATCCCAGAGCTCAGCAAAACATCGAGGAAGTGCTTCATCATAATATCTGCTTAGTAAGACCACTGGGAATGCAGGAGGCATGCAAATAGTGAAGAATGAGCTGATTCTGGCTTTAGGGTTACAGAATATTTTGCTGCTGCATGTAGCTGATGTTTCTCCTTTTAATCATACTTGAACACAGCTCTACTAGAACGTCTAGTTTTCATTTAACAGCAAATATCTCACTGCTACTCATCAGATATTGCACCAGTTGAACAAAAACATCCAGTGGCATTGCATTTGCAACAGCTCAACCTAAAAGCTTCTCACCTCCATGGGCACTTGTTCACTATGTGTTTTAGTTCCGTTCTTTTTGTGAGGGACAATCCACAAAAACATTAACCTCATGTTTAGCTTGTAGTCAGCTTCCATCTGCACTTCCTGGACAGGAATGTAGAACAGTATAATACAAATACACACATATACATATACAGAGGGCATTAAACACAAATAGAATGATGTAATAATTAGCCTAACAGCACACTTTAATAAACATAACAAGACAATTTCTCCATCACTGTCCTATCTGAATCCAAACATCACAGGCTGTGTGATATAACCATTTTTAGAGGTTTAGAATTAAACAACAAGGCACATGCTTCCACCCTCACACTCGCTCTGCATCTCCATTTTGATTTCAAAGATCTCCTGCAGCATGACCGAGATACCACCTTTATTCTTTGTACAGGCTTTATAAAGACATTATAAGGGAGTGACACACCTTTCAGGTCTGAAAAGTGCAGCCAAGGTGGAAAAGGCATTAAATCTGCATTCTTTCTAATGACCAGCAGTGGCCGACTACTCTGGCTGCAAGAAGACTTACGTCTGTGAGATTACAGGCTCTATTTGTAGACATCTTGCTTCATTAAGAGACTTCACTGACCAATCGTGATCTCACGGTGGCTACGTCAGTCACAGATATCTGGGTCAAGACTTCCCATTTCCTGTCCCCCGGACACCATTTATGAAATCAGATATGTGTTCATACATGGTGAATAGAAATGCAATGCAACTGCTACACAACTACAGACTGCTGAAACATGAAACATTAGAAGCAGCCCTAAAACTCTCATCCCTTGCCTACAGATTGTTCATGGCCAGTTTGAAGAAATTAATTTTGATAATTTAAGATAAAGTAACTCACTTTGGCTTTTGTACAGATGTGTTTAAATCAAGTTTCCTGAAGATTTTAAATAGAGTGACCCAAGGCTTAATTTTAGGCCCCATTTAATTTTTTTTCATTAATAAAATAGGAAATAGGAAATAATATGCCTACAGATAAAAAGAGCACCTTTATGCTGATGACACCATACGCTGCTTAGTTGGCTCTTCTCTGAATGAAATGCTGAGGAGCTACAAGTTGCCTTTCAGCAGCTGAGGGTATTATTTTGAAATTTAAAATGGGTTCTTAATGGTAATCTTAAGAGCTTGAAAAAAGTAGGTGTCTGGACTTCTGAAGCCTTTTAAATGAGAAATGTAACATCTTTCCAAACCTAAAGACATCCAGTCGCCTTCTTTTTTCAAGCCTTTCCAGGGGTGTCGAAGTCCAGGCCTCGAGGGCCGGTGTCCTGCAGGTTTTAGATCTCACCCTGGGTCAACACACCTGAATGAAATGATTGGTTCATTACCAGGCCTCTGGAGAACTTCAAGACATGTTGAGCCATTTAAATCAGCTGTGTTGGCTCAAGGACACATCTAAAACCTGCAGGACACCGGCCCTCGAGGCCTGGAGTTGCCCACCCCTGACCTACACAGACATATCTACGCAATGCTGACTAAACCAAATTTATGTTGTTTTCCACAAATCACTCCCAGATCTTAGATCTCAGGTTTTCATACCCTTAAAA